AAATCTTTTTTCCATAGTAAATAAATGTTACTAAGAAAATCTTTTTCTACAGTAAATATGTGTTTATTTTCCCATGTGATAAACTAAAGGATTAGCTTTCAATTTCCTTGTGCAGAACTTAATAAATATTACTTGATCATACTAGCACATTATACATGTCACCTCACTTAAACTACATTAGGTATATTCCTGTGAAGATTCAATAGAGATGAGAAAAATAAAGCTTTATGAAGTTAGATCATTTCATCTCACTCTATTTAGCATTGTTATAATCAAGAAGACAAAAAAATTGAAAACACTGTGCACACAGAAAAAGGGAAACTCTGAAATCCTTTCAGTGAGAAAGTAAATTAGCACAGCCATTATGGAGAAACAATACAGAAGTTTCTCAAAAAATTGAAAATATATCTATCATACAATCCAGAAATCCCAGTAGTGACACATAATCAAAAGACACAAAACCTTTATATCAAAGATATATCTGTACTTCAATGTATACTCAAGTACTGTGTATAACAGCCAGGATATGAGTTGTTCCTTGATAGATGATTTTTAAAAATAAAGTATACATACAAAAAAAATAAAAAAATAAAAATAAAAATAAAGTATACATACATAATGAAATATCTACTCATAAAAAATAAAGAAGTCATTTTTGGCATCATCGGTGTACTGGAAGACACCATTTTAAGCAAAAAAAGCAAAGCAAAGAAAGACAAATATGACCTATGTTCACTCATTTACAGAAACTTAAAAAAAACCTTGATTGCAGGAGGTAAATAATACAACAATAGACTAGTGGTCACTAGAGGATCTAAAGGAAAAAGGCAGGGAAACAGAATGGTAGGCTAACAGGCACCAAATACAGCTATGTAGCAGCTAATGTTCTAATGGCTTATAACACAGTAGTTTAAAAAATGTATTATTAAATATGTCAAACTAACTTGAAGAGAAGAATCTCAAGGTTTCCAGCACTGAAATTCTAAGTGTTTGGGGGAACAGGAATGCTAATTATACTGATTTGATGTACACTGTATTCATGCATTTGATAAATATATACAAATTTAAAATACAATAAAATAAGAAATTGGATAATTTGTAGGAATTCACAATGTTAAAACATGGCAGAGGTGAACTTGAGGCCAAACAGTGGTATTTTCCAGAGTTTCTGTTCTTAATCTGTTAAAATGAATAAAATGCTATAATAGAGAGATAATTTCTCAACTTTTCAAAACCTATTCGTTCCATACAGGCACTCTTGACAAATTCCCACAAACACAGCAATAGAAATGAGAATTGAATCTTTTATACTTATGGTTCGAGTTCCTCTGTCTCCCTTCATAATATGGGTTTGTGTGTAGATCTATAATTTAGATCATCACCATGGGCTTCAGAAAACCATGTCAAAAAAGACCTTTTGGCATTCTCCTATGTTCCTCTGTAAAATACTAGCACAAGAGATATTTAGCTATACCAGATTGGTTATTCCCTCTCTTCCTTTTCTTTCTTTCCTTCCATCCTTCCTTCCTTTCTCCCTCCCTCCCTCCTTCCTCTTCCTTCCTTCCTTTCTCTTCCTTTCCTTTTCTGTCTGCTCATCTTCCTTCCTTCCTTCCTTCCTTCCTTCCTTCCTTCCTTCCTTCCTTCCTTGCAATCCAAGAGCTCTGGAAAATATAGCTTATCCCACTCTGCTCCTCAAATGATTAAACAAACATAATGTTCTATCCTGTTACAGGTGGGAAGATGGGAAATGTTGACTAGCACCTGGCTAGTTGTTTATCATTGTGAAATTCCATTAAAATGTTTCCACTCACTTAGCCTAGCTCATTTGCTAATGAGAAAACTTGAGGTTTATGAATTTCCTGACACCCACTAGTCACTGCAAAACCCTGATGTCAGGCTATCCCGCCTCCTCTGATCAATCCCAGAGGTACCTTCCTTCAGGGCCTTGCAATGAGTCACTTCTTAGGGTTATGAAATGAGAAGTACTTTTCCTTTCTTTGCTGAAGCTGTTTCTTGGTAACGGTTGATTGGGAAATTTGCTCTTTATCAGCCATTCAGTTAAGGGACTAAAGCAATGCTCTGTCTCTGAGTATCTTGGTTACTAGTAATCAGGATTTTAGTGAAATATGGTGTTAGTTTAGATTTTTCTTGACTTGAAAATCTAAATTCTGGATTTGATCACCCTAAGTATAGTAATTTCAATGATCTCAATCAATATATTTGTTGTCAAAATCATGGTCTACCACAAGGGCAAACCAAAGAATAGTCTTTATTTAGATATTTACAAATATGTGTATATAATCTTGTATCAATAATGTAAGGAAAACTTAAATGAGACCCAATTTTGAATGAAGACACAATATAACTTCACCTTAATATCCTCTTGATTTAGTACTCAAGCAGATTTTCTTACTTGTTAGGTAGTTTCTGCTATAAATAGTGACTAAATATTAACCAATTTTGGTCTTATACTAACCTCATTCATTCATAAAACAATCTTATATTAAACTCATTCATTCACAAAATAGCTATGACATATTTCTCAGGCTAGGACAAAGTAGTGAACAAAATAGAAACATTTCTTGCCTCTCATGGAATTTTTATTTCAATGCATTTGCTTGCTTCATATATATACATATATATATATATACATATATATATATACATATATATATATATATATATATATATATATATATATATATATATATATGATGCTTGTATCCTAGTTACCTAGGAAGTGGAGATGGGATAATCCCAGCTGTGGGGGAAAAAAAAAAGTTCTGGAGACTCATTCAATGGCTGGTCATGGTGGTACATACATATCATTCAATTTAGAAGGAAACACAGTAGTATGTTCCTGTAATCCCTATCATCATGGGTAAGCACAAGTAGGAGGCCAACAGCCCAGGTTACCTCAGGCATAAGAGACAATACCTATATACCTTGAAAATAATCAAATGGAGAAACATTGGGAGGTGTTACTGAAGCAGAATGCAAATGCAAGTGCAAATGCGAAGCCTTGAGTCAATTCCCAGCATAGCCAAAAGAAAAAGTTTCACAATTAAATGTAATTGGAGACAAATATAATTAGCAAGAACATTTTAAAATAATCAAGTTTACAGAAGCAAAGCTGACAGTTATCCTCAATTTGCCAGACAGATGAGATTTATTTATCACATCTTGGACTCTTGTAAAATCTTGTTGGCACATCTATCTAATCTAATAATAATTATTAGCTCATATTACTAAGCACCTGCTAGGTATGTGTTAGGAACCAGGAATATTTTTTTTTTTCTGTCAGTGTAGAGAGACAGAAATGTGAAGAGAAAAGAGCTAACAAAACCAAAACACATCAAGTATGGACACTATTCCTCTACTATCTGCAGGACTTCCGGATGTTGCAGGAGACTTCACTTCTATCCTTGCACCAGGAATAATTTATGATGGAAGAGTGCCAAATTATTTTCAAGTCAGTGAATAGGAAAGTATTCTGAATATCAGAGCAGTAGAAAGATTCATGAACGACATCATTGTTATTAAATTTGAGAACTTTTCAGAACAGGTGAAGGCCTATGTGTGCAAACTTTAAAAAATTTTTTATTTTACTGTAAAGATGTTTTACAAAGGGGTTACAGTAACATAAGTAAGGTAATCAGTACATTTCTTGTCAAGCATTGTTTAACCCCTCCTTTGTTTTTCTCCTACTATCCCTTCCCTCCCCCACCTTCCCCCTGCCCCCACCCCAAGTTGTAAAGTTCATTTCCAACATAGTGTCTTGTGAATTTATTGTTGCAATAAATCATCTTGTGTCTTCGTTTCAGCATTTTGTTATTCCCCTTCCCCTCCCCAAATTAGATAAATGTATATACAAGATGCAGGGCACCAAAATCAAATAGTGACAAAAGGAGATATACCATACCATTACATACAAAAGAAACAAACAACAGCAAAAAAGTCACACAGTACAGTAAAAACAACAACTAATGCAGACATTTTTCAAAATGCTTATTTTCCCCACTGCTTAAAATGATAATAACAACATCAACAACAAGAAGGTGGGTGCTGATAGCTCATGCTCATACCTGTAAACCCAGGTACTCAGGAGGCTGAAATCTGAGCATCACCTTCAAAGCCTGCCAGAAGCAAAGTCCCTGAGACTCTTACCTCCAATGAACCACTTTAAAAGCCTTAGGAAGAACTATGGCTTAAGTGGTTGAGGAACAGCCTTGAGGGAAGAGACTCAGGAACAGTGGCCAGGCCCTACACACACGTACGTGCACACACGCACACACACGCGCACACACACACCCGCACGCGCACACATCCGCACACACAAGCACCTGCACACGCGCGCACACACACGCGCACTCGCACATACATGTGCACACACGCACGCGCGCGCGCACACGCACACCCGCGCGCACGCGCACACACACCCGCACGCACACACACACACGCGCACATGCACACGCACACACATGCACACGCGTACACACACGCACCCGCACTCACACACATGCACTCACACGCACACGCGCGCACACACGCACGCACGCGCGCACATGCACGCGCACACACACGCGCACCCGCACTCACACACACGCACGTGCACACGCGCTCACACACGCACCCGCACTCGCACACGCGCACACACACGCACGCACGCGCACACACAGACGTTATTGGGCACATCTGGAGTAACAGGAACTTTCCTGCATCCGAAACGTTGTGAGCCTCTAGTTTAAAGGAATTTACCACAGACGGCTTCAAACCCACTTTCCACACCCAGCAGCGATGAAGACGACGTTTAATCCGCCTCTAACCCTTACTTTACAACAAATACACTCAACCTATTGTTTTGGACATAAGGGCCGGCGCCGACAAAGCCCAGCTGCTGCTTCCTCACGACCTCGCGGGAGCAGAACTGAGCTGCCCAGCGCCAGTGAGTGACAGGGGAGTGCGCGGTGCGCCACGGGAGTTGTGGGCCGCGGGAATTGTGGGAAATGTAGTCTGGCGACTCCGCCCTCCCCGCCATTCCGGTAATGGCTGCTCCCAGGAAGGTAACGTACGGCCGCAGATCGCTCGGGTGTATTTACAAAACAGGACCAACTTGCACCTTGCCGGGCCAAACGATGGATTCTTTTTCCTTGTAGTCTTTGTGTCACGTCTGGGGGATGGACGTGTGCCTCGGCCGGGGTGACTTGGGCTGCTTCTGTGTGGGAGCGATAAACTTGAAATGTAGTTCCCACTTCTTGGGCGAACTGGGGTCTGCACTGGTTCCCAGTGCTCCCAGTCCCCCCGCCGCGGGCTCCGGAAGATGCCCGAACTCACGTGCAAATCTTCCTTTCTACTCCAATAGGTGGTGTCACGTGTCACCTCTTAGCCTCGGGACCCGGAGCTCCAGGAAGGAACAGTTCGGATAGAACTTTATCCATTCCATTTCCTTGGTGAGTCTTGCTACTTGCTCACACCCTCACAGTTCTATGTCCTGTGACTTTAGCCGGGTTTGTCAGCATTTCCCAGGTAGAAGAACTATCCCCACCCCCCCATCCCAAGAGAATGTCACTTTTATTCACTAGGCTACTACTGTGGCTCCATTTTTACTTGGTAGTACTTTTGACATTACAAGGGAAGAATTAATGGGGCTGGAGTGTTGTTGGGAGATTAGCCTCAAATTACAAGTATACCCAGTACTTCCCACTGGTTTTTTTTGTTTTGTTTTGTTTTGTTTTCCATGTGTAAAAGGAGGAGTGGATCTGAAGTGAATCATAAACTCTTGTAAGTTAACAGAGTAGTGGATGGTTGATGATGTGTAGATCTGCCTGTTGTCGTTTGCGAAAATAAGAATTTTTAAGATGCTTGATTTAATATGCTTTTTAATATGCTTGGTTTCTAGGAACCTTTGGACCTCAGGACCTCAACATCATGACCTCCATTTCTGCACAGATGCTGGTAGTCTTCATTTCACTGCTTTTGGTTCTGCCTGGCGTGGAAGCAGTAGAAGCCGGAGATGCAATTGCTCTCTTATTAGGTGTAGTTCTCAGCATCACAGGCATTTGTGCTTGCTTAGGGGTGTATGCGAGAAAGAGAAATGGACAGATGTGACTTTTGTAAGGCTCCTTGGAAGGCAGACTTCACCCTGACACCCTCAAAACCTTTACTGAACATTGATCTTCAAAGTTCCCGGCAAACCTAAATAGGATGATTTCACATTTGTAGTCTTTTCCCATACAATGGGAGCAAATAGAGATATATTAAATGTGGTGGGGGAGGAATTTTTATAACAAATAATGCACTAAAAAAATGCAGCCTGTCATTTATATTCGCTGCTTAAAAAAACAAAGAAGAAAGAAAGAGGGCTTAAGTTTGTATAAATAATATTTCATAAGCATTTTCAAAGCATGTGAAGTGGAAAGAAGGAAGCTTTGTTCCAGAATCTGGCAAAACACCATGGTTTAGTTATAATCACTGCCTCCTGAATTGTTGAGGAACTCTTTACTCAATGTTTGTATTAGATTACTTTTGTTTTATCTGTTAAAGTTAATATTTTACTTAGATATTGAATAGCCAAAAATTGAAACTTTTATCTCTGGGGTGGGGAAGGGGAAGTTTAAAAAAATGTATTCAAGCTATTATTGAAATGGATGAGATTTAATGTAAAGAAAACAAAAAATACCCAAAAAAAAACACAAAAGCCTCTATATTAATTAATATCTCAATATTGGGAGGTATTCTATTAAATATAAATCCTTTATGTTATAAGTTAGTGTGTGGTGTCCATTTCTGTTTATCTTGGATATTGTGTTTGCATAGATTTTTACAGAAACCAAGTAGAGAACAGCATGGTACTTCTCTCTTAGTTGATCATCAGCTTGAACACCATCACAAATACGAGAGGCCAGTGGTAGAAAATCCACAGACAGAAGGAAAATGTAATGCCCTGAGTTGATTTGCATTTCAGCTAAATGAAACACATTTACTCTTACCTCACAACTTGAAGGACCCTCAAACTAACAACATTACCTGGAGGATTGTTAGAAATGCCCATTCTTAGACCCCACTCACATAATAGGAATGGAGTCTATCTCAAGAGCCTAAAACAATTTGCATGCATTATAGGTTTATGAAGACTAACTTACTAGAACTCAATAATTTATTCCAAGGCTTCCACAAAATTTTGAGGACTTTTTATATCTTGGTTATATAACAATGAGGTATGGTTGTGGAACTCCATGTTATAAAAGTCTACAGTGATTTTTTGATTCTAAACATATAGCCAGAATGAAGTATTCTTAATAAATTAGCATAGGTTTTGCTAAAAATAAGTAGCCAAGGTTTTTGTTTTGTTTTTAAATGAATTATCTTTTATGAATTGGCTTTTTTTGGTGTCATAACAGGTCTCAACTTTAGAAAATAGGCATACCAAGGAAAGTCTTCTTAATGGTGCATTTCTCCTAGTGAGCTGATTTGACTTGCAGGAGAGACTGTTAAAAGTAGTGAGACAGACCCACACTATCAAGGCATGGACTCAGGGTTGGAAGCATGGCTCATATCGGTGGAGTGCTGGCCAATGAATGAAAGTGTGAGGTATTGAGTTCAAGTCTCAGTCTTGGGCCTAAAAAATATTTTTAAAAAGATAGCTGTTTTATTATCAGAGAAGGCACTAATATTCTTCATTCAGATAAACAGACCTCAATTGTGAATATTTTCTTTTTGAAAGAGAAAGAAATGTTATATTTATATGACAGTTGTTAGCTATTGGTGCTAAAATGTTCAAGTCTGAATATATCAATCAGGACAGGAAAAATAACCTAAATTATGCTTCAATCACAGTTGCCTAGTCATTTGAAGGTACTATACTTTAAATGTTCAAAATAAGCCCGTGCAAGCATTCTTTATTGAACATTTATTTCCAGAAGTGCCTAGAATGAATTTGAAAGCTGCATTGTTAAGTCTTGCTTAAAATCAGAGCTCTCCTGAGGTAGCATGCAGTAATTTCTAATGGGCATTATAGGCCATGTATCTTCTAAAACTAGCTACCAATTCGGTTAAGAATCTTGATAAAAGCTATTATCTTTTTCCCTATAGAAAAATTCCCAGGCATGCAAAATTTTTACATTAATTCTGGGAGTTCACAGACTTGAGCTATCTTGAAGAATCCCAAACTAGAAATTTCCTATGTCCCCCCCCTCCTTTTTTTTTTTAAAGATACCAATTCTAAAATTCCTTGATTTGCTTTGAAGGACAAATACCGTCCATTAAAGCAGGAATGAGATTGACAACACTGTTACAAATGCTTTGTTAGCTCAGTTGAATTCAGTTTTAAGATCGAAGATTAAAAGTTGAAGTCAACAAGTAAAAGATTTAAGCTCCTTGTCAATACTATTTTGTTTGTATTTTCTGTAATTATATGGTCATCAACTGTTCTCTTAATTCCAAGAATGAATTTCTTTCTAACTGCTTTCATGATTCTCTTTTTTGTCCTAGTTTTCAGATGTTGGACTGCTTTTATCTGGTTTTATCCTGGTTGCAGTTTGTTCAGTTTATTGAATCTAAAGATTTATGTCTTTTACCCAAATTTAGGAAATTTTCAGTCATTATCTCTTCAAATACTTTCTCAGCCTAATTAACCCTTTTTTCTCTTCCTTCTAGGACCCCAGTAAACTAGGGGAAATTTTTTGTTGTAAACTCACAGGTCTCTGAGGCTATATCTTTTTTTTTAACGTTTTTATCTTGATTGTGCAGATTGAGTAATTTCTAGAAAGTATACTGTCCTCAAGTTCACCGGTTATTACTGTGTTTTTTTAGTTCAAACCTTGACTTGTTTCATGTCTTCTGTTTATTTCCTAAAACTTTCTGTGTCTCTATTTGTTTCTGCTGTATTTGCAATTGTTCATCAAAGCACCTGATAACTGTCAAAATTTATGACCGATAACTCGAACATTTGTGTCATTTAGTATTAAGCACTTAATATTTCCAACAATAGGTCTTTCCTAAGTAACCTGACAAAAGCTCAATAACTGCTCAGATTCTCTAGGAAATACAGGAAATTTGATTTTGCCTGTTTAGGAGAATAGCTTATCTGGTCCATAATCTGCCAAGAAAAATACTCTGATTTTAAAAGTCATAAAGATACAAGAAACACAAAACATATTTAACATTTCTTTCCTCTGTAAACTTCATCTGGAGAATGGAAAAAAAGCTGATCCCAGACATGATTTTTATACTTTATAAGAAAAGCTAAACATTGGCATTAGAATAAGCCTTTAAAATGTTTTTTTCTAAATTTTAATAACTTCATTTATCTAAATACTATGTGGCAGGTAATATTTATATATTGTATCAAAAAAGCCAAAGATGAGGGAAGAATGTAGTTAATAAAAAAACACAAAAATGTGATTTAATTTTGCATTGATTTGTAGTACCAGGACTATAATACTCATTTCTACTAAGTCCATTATATATGATGATTAACATTTTGAAAATATTAGTTGGTACCTCATTTTGTTCTGAAATGGAATTATTGAATTTTATATACAAGAGGGCTAGTTATTTGTAAAGGGCCAATAATAATATAGCACTTTGTTAAACATTGAAATTACAAATATCATTTCTCAATATTAAGATAATTTTGCTCTGGATAAATGTGCAAAAATGACAAATGAAAGATTTTAGAAGCAAACGTGATCACCCCTAGCCAGAACACCTACCATATTTTCTTTCAGATAATTTGCCAGAACAACCCTTTTATTTTACCACAAAAATTACCAGGTTATTTAATACCAACATAAAACAATTTTATGAGTCCTAGGATGATACATGCTAGCTTTCACTTGTTGAATCAACACTGTGCAAGACATTATTGTCTTTAGAAAGAAAAAATCACAAGGAATTGGCCTTGATAATAATTTACCCTTCACAATTTTTTCACCTGTAAAATTATGACAGTAGTCTCCCAGAGGCTTCCTAGTGATAGAATTTTGTAGCTTCATAAAGAAGTTTTCCAAATGTCAAAGATAATAAGATTGAATGGATAACTCAATATTGAAGTTGTGTCCAGTCAAGTTTTGAGGAGCTGATCTTAAATTCTTACTGAAAACTACTTTATAATCATTTGGTACATTTCAGTTCAGGGGTAGATCATTTTTTGGTATAAAATGAATCTGTTAGGGATTGTGTCAAAAATATATAATTAAAAACAAACGGTAGCCCTGCCACTCCCACTGACAGCAAGCAAGCTACATACTAATACAGGCCTGACAGTATCTAGGAACAAGCAACCCAGCAGTTCATCTCTTCAGTCTCCCCTAAGCCCTACAAGGGAGATTGCTGGCAGGCACCAACTTCCCAGTGGTGGAGACAGTCCCATGATCGGATTTATGGCACGTTTCTCTTTCACACACTCCATACACAATCTTCACTGGGAAATCCAATGATGCCCAAGACCAACACATTTCTACCTTATGACTTCTATCTGGTTAAGACCACCGTAATGATTTGAGTAAGATGCACACCAGCCCTCAAGTGATTCTCACTTCCTATCTTACCTTTTTTCTAAACCAGTTATTGTAAAGATACTGTACAGAGGGCTTTTAGTTACATGAGTAAGGTCATGAGTACATTTCCTATAGAGCATAACCTCCTCCTTTGTTTTTCCCCTACCCTCCCTTCCCTCCCCACCTCCTCAACTCCTCCCTCAGCTGCCTCCCCCACCCCAACCCCCCAAGATGTAAAGATTGTTTTAAACAGTGTCTCACTGTTACAATGGGTCAATCTGTATCCTTGGTTCAGCATTTCATTATTTCCCTTCCCCTCCCTAAATTAGAAAAATGTATATACAAGATGCAAGGCACTAGAATCAAATACAGTGAAAACAAGGGTTAAACCTTGGGGGAAGAACATACAAAAGAAACAAAAAAAAATCATATATCATTAAAAACAACAGCATGAGTACATTTCTTTTTAAAAAGTGTTACCCCTCCCTCATTGTTTCCCGCTTCCCCCTCCCTGACTCCTTTCCCCACCAAGTTGTAAAGCCCATTTCCGACAGGTCTAGTGAGTAACACTGTTACATTGGTTCACCCTTTGTCCCAGGGTTTCTGTGGTTCCTCTTCCTGTCCCCAAATCAGATAAATTTATATACAAGACAAAGGGTACAGAAATCACATAGAGTGGTAAGCCAGATCCAGAGAGCTTTTCTTTCAAGAAATAGTGACTTACTCTACTGTCCAAGCTAGACTTGAACTGGGCTTATGCAATCTTCCTGCTTTGGCCTCCTTGGTAGCTATAACTGGGAATATATCACTGTCTCTTACCATGGTGCAGACACAGATGTGATCCTATTACATCCCAGCTCAAAACCCTTTATTAGATTTTTTCTGTGTGAATTTCTTAACAAGTCCTAAGAAAAAAAGCACTGCTTAATTTTCTCCGTTCTCATCTTTGTAACTCCAAACATACCTTACATTGAACCTTTGTTATGTTCTAGGATACACCATACATACTCTGTCGTCTTCTTCATGGTTAACCTCACGAGCATGCCTGCCCACTGGTATATACTGACATGTTCTGTGCCTATGTTCTCGCCTCCTATGTTTGAACAAGTTAG